CGATTTACAGAGAGAGTTGAGTGAGGGAGTTGTGAGAGAGGGAGAGAGGTAGGGCAGCGTGATTTGTGAGAGCGAGGGTTTGGGCCGTTTCGCGTGTTTTCAGATTTTACCTTGTTTTTCCAAAAATTTTACAAAACAATGTTTTTGTTGTTTTCCGTTTTCAGTTATAATTTTTTTTTCATTTTTCAAAACGCGTTTTCGAAAATAAGATAGAGAACGCGTTTTCGTTGTTTTGAGAAATTAAAAACAGAAAATGGTTGGAAAACGACAAAGAGAACAGGGCCTTAGTTTCTCAACTTTAATTTTTAGTTCTTTTGAAAAATAATAAAGAATATAAGGGTAAATTATGCCAAATGTAAAATGTGTCTGATCAAAGAAAAAATTATCCTTGTTGTCGTTGGAACTAGCAGAGATGGATTAAAACCAGTAATCAAAATTCAGAATAGAATCTTTACAGATTAACAAAAAATTATATTCTATTACAGTGACAGCAAATTCAGAATTCATTCAAGTATATCGAAAAATCACCATTCATGTACACAACCAAACTCTCTCTCTCTCTCTTCTCGTCTCCATCTTCAATTCTTTCACCAATAATTATATCCATTTTTGAAACCTTTTCTGGATTTTTGTTTTTTTTCTTATTTTCTCTGAAAAGAAAAACTTAGTGTACTCATATATTGCCAAAATTGTTGGGTTGCTACTGGCATGTAAGTAGAAAATGATGCTACTGCATAAACCCTTTTTGGTATCGTCTTTGTTCTTGTAAATTTTAGACACTATAAAGCGAAATGGTATATTTTCAGCGATTTCATGTGTGATTATTTTTCTGCTACCATTTCTTGATCTTCTATGTTGATTGTAGGTTAAATTGGTTTCTTGCAGTTTGGTTTTCAAGCTCGATTTTAGTTTGATATTAGCCATTTCTGGAGTTTATTGCAAAACATGTTTTTAGGAATTTAAACCGAAAAATACCAAAAATGCACAATAATATTGAAATGGCGGTTTCTTGATTTTTGTGGGTTATGGGTTTGAATTTTTTCTTCCCATATCTCTGTTTTTTTGGTGATTATGGGAATTTGTTTTTGGGAAAGCTATTCTCATCTGTGGAGTTTGAGTTTGAATGTTTGATGCTATCGACATCACTTCGTTCTGATTGCTATAGTTGGACTTTTTTCAAGCATTGAAATGAGTTGACAATATCTAGAAATTTATACTTGGTGTGATTGACTAAGTCAGATTTGCTGGCTTTTTAGATGTTTCTTAATTTTCCATGTTTTCATTCTTTCGGTTGAAGATCTTGGTTTGAATTTATGTTGGGTTAGTTTCAGTTAAAACAGATGGGTATATATCTCAGTACCCCTAAAACAGAGAAGTTTTCTGAAGATGGTGAGAATAGCAGGCTTAGATTTGGCTTATCATCAATGCAAGGATGGCGTTCTACAATGGAAGATGCTGTAAGTAGTTAAGATTTCTATTAGAGATCATGCTCTTGTACCACATTCAATTTGTTTTCTGTCACGCGTTTCAAGTTATTGCCATTGATTTACCATTTACTAATGTCATATGGTTGATTATAATTTTGTCCCTTGATTTAGCACTTCAATAGTTTGTGACTATTTTTTTCTCCCCCATAGCATTCGGTAGTTCCTGATTTGGATGCTTCCACTTCATTTTTTGGTGTTTATGACGGTCATGGAGGTAACTTTTTTTTTATTATTTATTTACTTTTTTCAACAATTGATATTCTGCCTGTTCTCCGTGGAATTAGTCGAGGTGCGCGCAAACTGGTCCGGACATCCACGGTTATCAAAAAAAAAAAAAAAAAAAATTCTGCCTGATGGTAAATCCTGTTCTCCGTGGAATTAGTCGAGGTGCGCGCAAACTGGTCCGGACATCCACGGTTATCAAAAAAAAAAAAAAAAAAATTCTGCCTGTTGGTAAATAAGTGAATGTATCCTAAAGGCTATAATATGGCTGGAATATATATATCTCTCATGTGTTTCTCAGCATATATATGTGGGTCCAAAGATATGAGCAAGCAGAAGAAAATAATATGTTGGATTATATGCATTTATAACCTGTCTTGGGTTCCTCGAGTTTTATCCTTGCAAAACATATGCGTTAACAACTACATCTAGTTTGGAAAATAAAGAGTTTGCTGACATGTTATAGATGCTTGTTGGGTCTAGTGCTGTGACTGCAAATTTGTAGATCCCTTGTGAAATCACTTATTAACATGGGAATTCAAATACAATATGACATGCAACATCTCCGCACGGTTTTGTTTGAAAACAAGAAAATAGTGTTTCTTTTTATCCAACTTGTACTTCAACATTCCTAGTTAGTGAATATATTCGGTGCCAGTAGACTCTGTGGTGATTTCAGTTTTTCCTCTCTACTTTTTGAATCCAATCACATGGCCCCGCTGCAGGGCGAACCTTGTATACGATGTATGGTTGATGACGATATATTTTTCAAGATATCCACTTTATTGAGAAGCTTCCCCTTTCTTGAGTACAATTTCGTTTCTAGGAACGTGTTTATAAAACATTTTTAATTTTTTATTATAATATACATTATCGTGGACCATCATCAACATGGAGAGAGGGACAGACTGTTTTTGCACAAGATTACGCTGAAAATTATTTTTAATATGACTTTCACTAAGAGCTGGTTCCAATGTAAAGTTTTATCATTTTATTTTTTTCGTATCTCTATATGTAGACTTGAAGTCTGCATATCATCTATTTTTGCAAGTTCATTTTCCACATCACATTTCCATTTTTATATATGTTCTGTTAATTTCCTTTACTTAGTATGTCTGTAGGACTCTGTATTTCACCATTTAGCTGATCTATAATGTTGTTGTGCCCTGCCAATTCACTCTATGTTTAATTTGGACACAAGGATGTCAAATACATACCTTTTTTTTTAATCTGATGCAGTAAAGAAAAAAACTGCCTTCTGAAAATAGACCATAATATAGATAAGTTTCTTAGCTATTGGATTAAGGAGATTCAAAGTATATAATAATTTCTTAAAATTAGCTTGCGGGTTCTCTTGTAAATTCATCAAATATTTCAGGTAAGGTGGTTGCCAAATTCTGTGCTAAGTATCTTCATCAACAAGTGCTTAGGCATGAAGCATATTTGGCTCGTGATATCGGAACTTCAGTTCAGAAAGCCTTTTTCAGGTCATTTACTTTGACATTTTTGTTGCTCGAAATAATTCTTTCCCTATTCTGTATAGTTTTAGATTTGAGGCCTTTGTAGTACTACTGTGCCACCCTTGCAATATCTATTGCAGAGAAACATAATATCTATTGTTTAATTTTTCTGCACATCATATTTGAGCATAATCATATTTAATAAGTTGAGACCACTATTTTATAAATTCCTTGTTTTATACATGTTTCCTATTCGTAAGAAACATATTACACAGTGAAACATTTCATTAAGGACAGTTCAAACGAGAGATTGAAATGAACAAATAAATCACTCCAGGAATTGGCAATGCTATGATATTTAAGAGGATACTTATGAAACAAGGTCAAGTAACTATCCCAAGAAATCATGGCACCAACAATTTGGAAAATTGCTGCCTCCCTCAAGAATAAGGTTCTCGCACGGACGCTACCTGAAGGAAAAGAGAAAGGGATACACATTCTTATTGCTCAGAGGGGGTGAGCCTGGAAGCTAGGTTCTCGTATTTATTCCATTTCACGAAGATAAATTTTTTTACTCCTAGAGAAAAACATATTTGCATGCGCATGCTTTTAACTAAATGTGCTGATTAATGTACCATAGTATACTTTCGAAAGGTAATGTTCATTTTCCTTTTGCTTGGTTTTGCGCCCCATCTAGAATTTTGTTCTAAAAGCTGTGCTTATAGTAATTTAAGAAGGCTTCAAAAAAGTCAGAGATTGTGCTTGCATATCAGTCTAAGGTTTTGGCTGTTATAGAGTTTATTTAGTCATTCTTTAGCCAGGATCTTCGAGCCCAAATTATTGGAGTTATTTACTGGAATAAAAATAGTTATAAACTCAATAAAGTGAAAAAGACTGTTGTACTGTGTTTAAATTTATGTTCCATTGTTATTGATGCAGGATGGATGAGATGATGCGAGGGCAGAGAGGGTGGAGGGAGTTGGCTGTTCTGGGAGATAAAATGGATAAGTTTACTGGCATGTTGGAGGGCTTGATATGGTCTCCAAGAAGTGGTGACAAAAAGGACCAAGTCGATGATTGGTCATTTGAGGAGGTGTTTGCTTTGCACCAATGGAATACTCACTGTCATTCTTTTTATTTAATGATAAGGATGATGTCATTATCCTATGTTTCACTTGTATGATTGACAGAAGGTTTAGTTGAAATTTTAAACTCGGGGATTTTAATTGTGTCAAGGATACAGAATTGTTCAAGCAATTACCGTGCACAGTTTTATGGGGGGAGTTTTGTTAGTGTTGCTTACCTTTCTTTTAATTTAGTATTTAGTGCGGTGGTGGGAAAAGGTGCTAGATATTATATATTTGCATTACATTGGAGAGATTTCTTACTATTGTGAACTTTTGCAAATATAATTCAAACCCTTCATGGTTGTACTGAATGTGTATTAATAGATGTAGACATAAATTACAAGAAAATTCATGTTTTTTAAAAACTAAAAGACCAGTATATAAGTGTCTAATTGCAATGTAAAGCTTATTTACCTTTTCACGAAATTTTACATTTCGCGTGTTTCATAATTGTTCTCTTATTATCTCTTCCTTTACTTTTATTTATAGGAAAGAGATGTTCTTATCGACAACTTGTTTAACTAGTTTTTCTTTTCATTTATTATTTGCTCTGAGGGGAAACATTTAATTGTTTATTCCTTCCTCTGTTCTTCTGGCAATTGCCCTTTGATTGGATTTTGACCAAGTACTATCAGGATCCAAGATTCTAATCATTGTTTGTTGTCTGGGGTTTACCTACCTATTTTTATTTTTTTGGCGTAGGGGCCACATTCTGATTTTTCTGGACCAACTTCTGGCTGCACTGCTTGTGTAGCCATCATTAGGGACAACCAACTTATCATCGCAAATGCTGGTGATTCTCGCTGTGTAATTTCTAGGAATGGTCAGGTAATATACAACGTAAAAATATATCTGATTGTGTTAGTGCATGTTGTTTAGGAGAAGTTATAAGTGTTCTTAAATGGATGTTACGTAGCTCAACATTTTTTTTGTTAGAAAGTATGGAGTAAAAGAAATTGAGAGAGAAGATAAAGATGAATTGAGAATTTTAAGTTTAACTATTCTATCTTTTGAAATACCTATTGATGAAACATGGACACTCACGGACTCTTCCTGGACATCCCAAGACGTGTACTTGTTGTGTTACATTTTTTATATTTTATGTATTGTTCATATTCTTTCCCAAGTTGTCATTTTCTACTTATTTGAGAAATCACTTGTCGTGTCCATGTGAATGCTTCTTAGTAAAAATACAAAGTTAAAAAGACCCTATTTATAGGGTTACAAACTTACAATGGACCAAAATCAGAATGTCATAATTACCTATCATAATCTGCCCAATAATTTTTCTACTGTGGTTACAGAAAATGTCAAATTTCAACATGTGTATTGCAGTGAATGTTTTCTTGGCACTCTTTTAATGTCTTGAGGTGAATGATTTTTTGTATGGCGTTTTTTGCACAGGCATACAATCTTTCAAGAGACCACAAGCCTGATCTTGAGGTTGAGAGAGAGAGAATTTTAAAAGCCGGTGGTTTTATCCATGCAGGACGTGTTAATGGCAGTTTAAATCTTGCAAGAGCTATAGGTGCTATGCAAGATTTCTACACTGATTTTTGATTTTTTGGAATAATAATAATCTTTGGAAGCCCATAAGTTGAATCATTATCTATCATGTAAGATGCATTGTAGACTACATAACTTAATTATTGAACAGATTGAGCTAGATATTATTGGGATAGTAAGGTGGTCTAGTGTTCGGAAAAATTAAACATATTTATGGCATGTTCAGTATGTTGGACTAAACAATACTGGAAGAAAATAAAAGGAAACTGTTGTCTGTTATCCTATACAGTGATGTCCTATGATGCACCGACACGGACACGTGCGTGTCGGATAAGTCGATACACGATTTTTAAAAAAAAGTACAGACACGACACGTTAATTAAATTCTTAAAAATTCTTCATTTATATAGTATAAATTTAATTTTATATTTGTTATTAATTTTTCTTGTTGAAATCTTTTAAACATGAGTATCTATTTGTTACTTGCTAATAATTTTGAATTAACAATATATAATATTTCTAATACAAAAAGAAAAATGATTACGGTAGAGTGTTCGAGAAGAGTTGACATCGACTTGTGTCCGACACGGACATGTTACCCTAATTGAAGTGTTTGTGCTACAAAGGTGATGTCAATACTGCACATAAAACATGCTCTTACTGTATGCACATGGACTTGTGGCTAAATGAGAGAATAGTTGCTGTTGCTCCTGATAATTGAACAGTACTTTAATCTGTTGCAGGTGACATGGAATTCAAGCAGAACAAGTTTTTGCCTGCTGATAAGCAAATTGTAACTGCTAGTCCAGATATCAATGTTGTACGTATCCACCTTCATTTCCTATGTTGAACAGATTTTTATTTTCTATAGTACAATTATCTATGTTTCAATTAGAAATCTGATAGGTAGCAGCCCAGTTTATGAAGCAAAAGAACAGAAAGTAAACTTTTTTTGGGTATTGCTGAATTATATGGAATGAAATTACAGAATTGATAGGCATTTAAGAGGCCTCTCTCTCTCCCAACTTGTTACCAAATTCACCATGAATGAAATGAACACCTTAGATACCCTTTTATTCTTTGAATGCCTACCCTTACTTTTGGAAATACCCATACTACTCTCCCCTTAACTACTCATAGATGGTTAAGTAACTGCTTAGGACCTATCATAATCATGTCGTATTTCTATATCCACCTAAAACAGGCCTCCTTAAGACATAATGCTCCATTGGCGACATGCACGCTGCTGCGACCAAGAAACAGGAAAGGATAAGTATGAGTTTTTTAATGGAGGTCTTTCATAATGGAATATGTAATATTTTGAGGAAGTTTTTCTAGAGACATTTGTTTTATATTATTTAATAACTTGTATAATAAGATTATACGAGGATGGTAATGCTAAAGTGAGAGGAAATCATATCATCCTACTCATATGATAGCACAGTTTATGAATTTTGTTTAACAAACATTTTTGATTGAATAATGTGTGTGAATAATGGAGAACTTCAAAAATTGCGAGTTAATTAGGTGGAAATCAAATTTGTTTGTCTGATGCGATCCTAGTCCAATACAGCTTCTAGTGGAAACTATCAAGATTCACATTTTATGTCTTTACCAGTCCCTTTTGAAAAATAAAAATAATGTATAAGATAAAGAATTTTTCGTTAGATATAGGAGAGACAAGTATAGAAGGAGAAGAAGTCCTCAAGATCATTAGGTCTACATATAATATTGACAAATAAAATGAGCATCCCTTCTTCATTGCAAATCTGACAATGATGTTCGATAATCTGCCTAGAAGCTTTGAATGAAGTTGAAGGAGCTCTGTAATCTATGACAGAATTAAAGGATGAAATAGAGAAACCATGGTCTAATTTCTCCATTGATCACCAATACTTTTAGCAGACTTTAGGTCCAAGATACTTGAAAGTTTTAGTGGAATTACATATCTTGAAATGGATCCGCTGAAATTTCTGTATTAAACCTATGCTCATACATTAGATTGTTTCTATCACCTCAGTGTTCGAGATGCAACTGTCAGTTTGATTTTGGATCATGTGGAATTCGTATTTCGGTTTTGGGATAAGAGAGAGGAGGTAAGAAGTTGTGTATGCAAATTTATTGGATCCTGCACATTTGAGATCTACTGCACATCATCAATTGATATTTTCACCTAATCATTTATGTGATTATTGGTGGGCTTTTCAAGAGATTTATAATACTCAGAGACCAGTTTACATTGATGAAATACACAAGAAACTGAAAACAATAAATTGGAACCATTCAAGGTCACCGTACAAAGAAGCTTTGGTTCAAGTCATGCTTTTGTGAAATATAAGTTACTATGATTTCAATATAACAATGAACAATACTATTACTATGTTTCAAGAATCTAATTTCTCCGACTATTACTCGAGATCAAGGATGAGGATTTGATCTGTTTCGCTTCTATTATATGAGCACAATAGTGAAGTGCTATTATTGCCTTTTGCTTTCTGCAACTGTAGATTTTTCTCAATTTTCTCTTCCAGGTTGAACTTTGTGGTGATGATGAGTTTGTGGTGCTTGCCTGTGATGGTATTTGGTATGCATTCTGAACTAATCTTTTGGGACTCATATACCGGATTCTGCAAGAGTGGATTTAGGCAATGCAAAAATAATTAATCGGGATATTTTAAATGGTTTGTTTCCAAATGGGATATTTATAGATTTTGTCAATCTTGTCATTCAATTAGCTTATGATGTTTTTTACAGTTGCACGTATTCTTTACAAATTTCTTGTTACTGTATTTTTTGATTGGGTTTGCTTTAGAGGATCTTTAGAACTTTTATTACAAGCCAACTGTTATCAAGCTGAAGAATATGCTACATTTCACAGTTGGTCGAAAGCTAATGTGGTATTTGTTTTCGGTCAAGGCCTCTTCAACTGATTAAGGAAAATAGTAATCACAGAATAATGCAGACTTAGAAATGCCTTATTTTGTTGCTCTCTTAGACTTGTCTATTCCACCTCTCGTAATTGTTATTATAGCATATCTATCCATCAAATTCACCTTGAATGTGCAGTTCTTCCCCCAGTTCTTTATCTGTTCACTGGCTTCTAGTCTTTTCCTAAAAATATCACTTCTATATGAAAAGAAATTGTGTTAAGATTTCTTCAAAATATCTATACAAACTTACTACGTTGAAATCCAAGTCCTTTGAATCTACCTTTATATGGTAAGAATTTGTTGTTTTTGGTGGTCTGTGAAGCTCAGTCTGTCTGGATTGAATGCTGACATTTGCTTGTCTATGAATTTCCTAATCATTAGTTTCACCTTCTAGGTTATGCCTGGCAGATGGATCATAGTCAATACCTCATGTTACTATATTTTCTCTACTGAGAAAGAACTCATGAAAATGGGGAAAATTTTTGTAACTGCATTGATTCATACAACTCTAGCAGAATATAGAAGGTGGTAATTTTAGGGCTGGACAAAACTCCCGAACTAAATCGGATCGAATTGAACCGAACCGAACCAAGCGGTTCTTTTTAAGTTAAATACCCGAACGGATATCTGAATCGAGAACCAACGGGTTCGGTTCGGTTCGGTTCTAGACATAAAACCGAATAACCGAATAAGAACCGAATTTTTTATCTTAAATAAGTCAAATTATTTTATTTTTTAAAAATAAATTGCTAACTAATTAATTTAGTCCAAATCCAAAATATGATTTTACTATTTTTAATTTTCAGCCAAGTTCAATTTAATCAAATTGACCTAAATTTTATTCAAATATCTTATTCTACGATAATATTGTTTTTACCTTTCTATTATTGTGAATTTTCCATCTTCCTCTTCCTGTGATTTTAACAGTCGAATCTATGAAGAACACAATAAAGAGAGATGCAAGAAATATAACGAAATTGGACTATGTTATTTTGTAAGAGTTAAGATTGAATATGTTATAGTCGAATTAATGTAGTGTTGTAATATAAAAAAAGTTCAATTATTGTAGGGAACCCCGAAATCGAATAGAATTGAACCGAACCGAACCAAATGGAACAGAACCCGAACGGTTCCATAATTAAATTTAGGCCCAACGGTTCAATTTACTAAATACCCAAAAATTTTGGGTTCGGTTCGGTTCAAAGAGAATCGAACCGGACCATGCCCAACATTAGGTAATTTGATGTTTTAAAATTGTTATCATTTTCCTTTGTTGGGCGCATACTTTTAATCTTACCAAGAAAAGAAAAGAAAGCCTATGTTTCCGAATTGAAGTTTTTTTTTTTTTTTTTTCTTTCGTCTTTTTTTTCCTTTCCATATTACTATCCTGGTAATTGCGGCAACCTGGCATCATTGCTGATCTGAGTCATCTGCATCTCTAGCCAGTATATGATTCTGAATGTTTGCCATACGTTCTTTTTATTAGTTCCCATTTGCTCTTGTTCCTACGATTAGGTCCTCTGTTTGTGATTATGGAATGCCCGGTACCAGACTTCAAATATTTGACTAATCAAGATTCCTTTTTCTTAATGCTTCAAGGGATTGCATGTCAAGCCAACAACTAGTGGATTTTATTCGTGAGGAGCTGAAATCCGTTAGTCCTTGTATACTCTGTGTTTATACTACTTTTGGTTAGACTAATGTTATCGTTGGCTTCTATCTGAATCATTGCTCATGCAGGAAAATAAACTCTCTGTTGTCTGTGAAAGAGTACTGGATAGGTGTCTCGCACCATCTACTGCTGGAGGTGAGGGTTGTGACAATATGACCATGATTATAGTGCAATTTAAGAAACCGACCCAGTTGGGTACATCTATAGACGAGCAATCTTCTGCTTCCGAGGATGTGCACGTTGAGTCAAAACCAGCAGACAGTGGATCGTAATTGGGTACGGATTTCCTCATGACGTCTGATTCTATGATGCCGAACTGTTTCCAGAAGTACCAATCCGCAGATGTACATAGTTTTGCTCGAACCGAGTGTTTCGTAGATTAAACAGAATTGGCTTTTGTGCTGTTTGTTACAATTAACGTGCAATAACCATTGGAAGAATGTGTGTGGAGGATTCAAATACATGTATGAACATCAAATAAATCTCTAACATGACAAATAAATTGCATAGAGGACCCGTCTCTACTGCATATCTATGCTTTTATAGATTAATGAATCGCTTGTTTTATGTAGATTTTTTAAGAATAAATTTTGTGATAAGTGATTTTTTTAGAGAATATATGGTTAAAAAGTAGGAAAATATTATAAATATTTTGTTGAGATAAATATTGGGTTAAAAATGAGTTTAGGGAAATGACTTTTAAAAAAATGGTTTTGCTGTTTACATAGTGTATAGGCCCCTCACAATAGAGGGGCTTATGATTTTTTTCTATTGGACACAGCCCTCCCTATTGTGAGGAGGACTGTGTATCGGGATGTCAATTTCGGTGTACAAATAGTAAAATTCCTTATTAAGAAATGTTATATGTACAAAAACATTTGATATTTTTTTGACAAATTGTAGGGGGTGAGCATTCATTTAATGTTGGACAAAACACATTTAATTTAGCCAATGTAGTATTGTCACCCATAAATTGTAATGACACCTTGGTGTCTGTGTGTATATTTTTTTTTTGACAAATTGTCAGTTGGCAAGCATTTGATGTTGGATACAACACATTTAATTTAGCCCAATGCAATATGAGCCGAGCTGCATAAACAGGGGGAGGTGACAGGGTCAGGTGACCGATGACTCACAAGGGGGGAGGGCCCACACATTTTGGGGAAATATTTTATTCACGTGGGGCCCGGCACTGTGAGGGTCGGTCACTTCTCCCTGTTTTTTACCCCTGTTTGAGTAGAATTATTCAT